CAACATAACAATTATTTTTTAAAAAATATATATATTAAGATAATATTTTTTTTATTTCTTAAAATTTATTTTTTATATCCTCACATCAAAATAATATAAAAATATTAAAAAATATATTAATTTCAAATAAAAAATAAAAAATATATTTTTAAAAAATAATGCAAAAATAAATATATTTTAATAAAAAAAATCAATCTAATTTTAAATAAAAAAAATATTATCACCACTCAATTTTTATAAATCACAGAATTTTACAGTAGCATTAAAAACATCTTATCACCCTTTTCTAGGTGGTCCAATGCATCATAAAAGTAGCGACGATGGGTCTCATGCTGCCTTTTTTTCTTCTCCTCTCTTTATGTTTACACTCGTTGGAATTTGCACTTACCTACGAAAATTAAAAGATGTTGCATGTGACATCTCATAACTTAGAATGCAATTATAACAAAAAATGTATCATATATATGAAAAATATGGCTATTTTTTTAATAAAATAACAACTACTTATATATACTTTGTTGAATATTAAAGAAATTTCAGGAGAGTCATTTTTATATAAAATTTTAATTACAAATTCATCATGTTTTTTTTCTGTATAAAAACATCATCACAATTTAAGTTTAACGTGGTAGCCTCATTCATAATCCATTTCATTAAGTCATTATTCCATAATTAGATTTTATCATTATCATTTCAGCATTTTCATAACAACACATACAGATTCCCATTCATCTATTCATATTAAACATATCATACTGAAACAAAAAACATTATATACAAGACTATAAAACTCCCTCACTGTCCCTCCCTAGATTTCATTCTTTATTATTTTTTGATCCCTTAATATTTTTTTATTTTTTATTTTTATATTGAGTTATTTAAATTGAACTTAATAGTTTTTTTTTACCATACATGAAAATCTTATATCATCAAGAGAAAAATTGACACATTTTTGGTGCCCGATTTTTAAAAGTAAAACATGATTGCATTGATCTTAAATGATCAAAGCTAAAGGGATTATTTTTGATAAACAAAATACTCTAGGGATTGAAAAAGATAAGTGAAAGTGCTCCTCATTTTTAGGAAGAGTGCGGCAATAACCATCCAATATCCACATAAAAAATATTTTTAAAGATGTTTTTTTGCAAATATATTTAAAAATATAATTATAATTATTTTATAAAATAATTTTTAGTTGAAAATATACAAAATTAATATTTTTTATTTTTATAAAATTATTTTTAATATTAATGTATTAAAATGATATAAAAATATCAAATAAATATTAATTTGAAGTAAAAAATAAAAATTAAATTTGTTTTATTGAAAATATTTTTAAAGTATAAAAATAAATAGATCCGTACTCTACGTGGACCTTGTATTTATACATTGTTTAATTGAAAAGTTACGTGTCTTCCATTATATGAACTTACAAAAGGCAAACGAAACAAGTTCAGCATTGTTAACTTTTAATATTGACTTATAAAAAGTAGAAACGGGAGAGTGCACGTGCACATTAACGAGAAGTAAAAACGCATGTGGGCCATGCAAATTAGTGGGTTGTTTCGTTTGAAGATTTTTTTAAAAAAACAAAAAGCAAACTTAAAGGCTTGAAAAATTCATGTCACGCGCTGCCCTTCCTGGAGGTGCCTTGGAGAATCCTCCAGCTTCAAGATAAATAAGACAGAATGGAACAATCTTAAACACGCTTTCAGTATCCATAATAATATAGTCCAACCTCAACATGAGAGAAACCTTTTTTTTATTAATATAAATATCCATGTCAGTTTATATATACTATAATTAATTTTATGAATCTTAAAATTATAATTATGTAAATTTTTAATATTTTAAAAAATAATTTATCAAAAATAAATTTAAAACTTGATAAGTTAAATTGCTTTTTAATATTTAATAAAACCTTTTTCTTTACGAGAGAGGTTGTGGGTGGATCATTCAAAGCCAAGTAAACCTCGTTATCCAAAAATAAATTAAAAACAATTATGCATCATTTATTTTTTGAGATTTTCCACCTGCAGGGTACCTTTTCCGTCACTTATCTGTATATTACAATTAGATCCCATTAATATTTACCTTATAGATGACACGGAGTGTCATCAAACACGATATGAAATTTTATTTGTCCTGGGGGTGTGGCTTCGATCCTCCTTGCATGTATTTCTTATGTGAATATGAAGTGTTTTGACCCTTATGGAAACATTTTGAGATGATATCCTCCTCCTCATGACAAAGTAATGAAGTCCGAAAAACCCTTAAAATAAATTATTCAAATATATATCGTTTTCCTCTTCTCTTAGGAAGTGACCACATACCCTCTGCTCATGGTTCCTTCCATCCTCTTGAGATTTTTTTTTTTTTGCACTCCCTTGTCAACGTATTCTGTGGAAAAAATGTGTGGGCATGAGTCAAATGCTATGATACCATCCTAGTAAAAAAATTAAAGAAGGGATGTCATGTATTTTATAGCTTATTTGGCTATGGGATTAGCAAGGAAAAAAATATAGATAAAGAGGGTTCAGAATAGGGTTGAAAAAAAAATGTGTGGGCATGGGTCAAATGCTTGAAAAAAAAATGAGTCATTGAAAATGAAAATGTAAGTATTTAGGCCTGTTTGTTGTTGATGAAACTCGCTGGATTTAGGACTTCCTTCAGGAGGCATCCCCAAAAGAATGTCAACCTGGAAACCTGTGATTTTTAGATTCGTTTTACTTTAGGAAGAAGGAAAGGAAAGCTGTTAAGCCTTGCAAGGCACACATGTTTGTTAAAAAGTGTTTTGAACTCTCTAGTATGGTATATGCTAATTTTTCTTAGGCCAAAATAAATCTGATTTCATGTTCACGAGTCACACAAGTTATTGAGACTTAAGAAATAATAAAGATTCATTAAAATAATAAAGTTTATAAAATAATTATAAAGCACAATAACCTTATAAATTTCATGCAAACAAATGTATGCTATAATTATTTTTTAACCAACTATTAAATATTTATGTGATCAATAATTTATTTATTGAGACACCTTGTTAATTTGTAAAACAAGACATTTAAATAGACATTACTATGTATCCTAACATTAAAAAACATGGAACTACTGTTTTATTGATGAAATCTATTTTTTTTCTTTTGGGTTGATCATTAGATAAATTATATGTTTATATTTTTGTGTTATATTATTTATCTTGAATGCTTAGATAATTAACGTTATTTTATAAATGATTGGAATTTTGGAATGATTTGTCTTTTAAAACAACTTAATGAGACTAAAATTGTATCTTTTAACATGTCAATGATGAATAAAAAAGATCTAACTTAAGATAAAAATGTCATTACATAACTAAAAACTATAAAATCATTTTCTATATAAGAAAAAAACTTATTTTGTTTTCCACCGAAAAATAACAAATTTGGATTATATGGACTATGTGTCTCCTCTTGTCAACTGAAGTATGATGTTACAGCGATTGTAAATTTCCAGCCTGCTTCCCGATCCAAGTAAACACAGTGCAATTTCTTCGAAGGCCAGTGCACAAAAAGACCGATTTATTCAAGGCTAAATATCAAATATCTCATCAAATTGTTGAATTATTATCTATTTTATATCCAAATCATTTTCTTAATCAATCTTACCATTACACTATATTGACTTCTCAATCAAGATTTTATATTGAGATATTTAATATAAAACGTGAATTTCTTTACAAAAAGACCATTCAAAAAATAGTTAAATTTAGATAATTAAAAACATAGTCAAAAGGCTTTAAAATATATGAAAGTATTTGATTATTTTTTTTTTAAGATCCTTGGGTAAAATTAATATAAATAATTTAGTGTTTTTGAGGTTTGCTCTTTATTCAAAGGTGCTAATTGAATAATCAGTAGTCTGTGCATGTCTACTAATTTTTAATCCACGGAGGCTTAGGACTAAGAATTGATGCATACACTCACATGGATTTATTTCAACCTATGATTCATTACTAGAATGTTAATGAATGGAGCATTTGAAGCGGGCACCTAGCCTCAATTAAATTTTCTGTGCATCAATTAGTAAATTTCTTGACCGAAGATGCTGGGAAGATGGCATAAGATCTCAAGAATTGCATTTGCCATGGCGCCGAATCATTTGGAAAGTTTGGATTTTTGAAAGAACCACAGCTGTGTAGTTACATTCATAAAAAATTATTTGTTGAAATAGTGTTTTGTGTTTTCTTTCTTTCATTTGTTTAGTTTTTTTTCTTTTTATTAATTCACCTTTTGACAACCCAATCCTTTTTATTTAATTTTATTTTTAATTATTAGATTGTTTTAAGAATTATATCTTATACTATTTTATTTTATTTTAAGATCTCATTTGCTTATAATTACTGCGCGTAATCAAACTTAAAAAAGTTAGGTCAGGTATAAACCATATAACACATCTGGTCTCATTGTTTTCGGCCTTGACTTCTCGCTAAGTTTCTCTGTTATCTTAGCCCTTGTGATTATGGTCTTCAAGAGAAGGAAACATTTTTAGAACAAAGCATATCTGATCCATCACTTGGCAATTTCAATTGCAATTAGGGTTTGAAGTGAAACTGTAGCCATAATTTATTACAGAACATAGAGATGACTCGAAGGAACTGGACTTTTCCTGCATTTTACTTGGACAATAATATTTCTTAATTTCTTGAGATGGAAAATTGACAACAGTCTATCTTCAGTAATTTTATTAAAAAAAAAACAGCAAAAAAAAAAAACAATCTTTTTCATAAGGTTAGAACATGCTGGCACAACGGGACTGGATAAGGGGGGCGCGGCGCCAACTGCATTGTTGACAGGCATGTTAAGAGATCAACCTGACCTGACATGCATTTCAATCATGTCTTAAACTACCAAACCCAGCTCTTCGCATCAAACTCAAAAAGCGAAACAACAAATCAGTTTTATGAGCTGCTTCAAATCCTTCAAAGCAAGTACATGTCTCCTGCACAGAAAAACCAAAAGGCTGCCTGGATCCAAAGTAAACCTCCAGAAAACGGTTTTGTAACCCACCATGCAATTGCGGAAATCGAAGTGGCAAATGGATTGGTTAAAAACAGAAAACATAAACCAAAGTATTCATTTAAAACCAACAGAACGGAAATTCTGCTGTTGATCTCGAGCAAGCCAACTATGTGATCACCACGGCACCATAATCACCTCATGTATCTGTGAACCTTATCCAAGAATAAAAAAGAAAGAAGAAAGATAGGATGTGAGCAATGGTTTCAATGTCAATATAAAGCAAAGAAAACAAAAAACAAAACTAAAGGGATGAACATAGCGGACAGATCAATGGACCGGGCACAGAGCAGAATTTAATCTTGGTTGTGAGATACTGAATAAAGCATTTAGTGTTTGATTGTACAATCTGTCAACATGAATCTCAGAAAGAAAAGGAATGGATGCCCGGTGCAACAGCAGCCACAGATCTTGTTTGCTATCTTTCTGTTGGGAAAATAAAAAGACAGCTCGGAATTGCCCGAAGGCATGGTCTGCTATTTCTGTCCAGAAGAGAAAAGGAATCCAAAACAGCTCACAGCTCCCTGTTCACCTCCTTTTCCCACTGGAAATAAAACTGATCGAGCTAAGAATCCAAAACAGCACAGCTAAAGGAGCATGGCATAAAAGCATTACCAAACTCCGGGGAAGAGAAAAAAACACGGCACCATGATGATAGAACAGCCAGACAACCTAACCTATGGAGATATTGATATGTTGAAGCGATGGTTAGAAGTATCAAGGTCATTCTCGCTAGAATGAATTTCTGCCATTGCATATCATTAGTTTGTTTACTTAGAAAAAATCAAAAAGCAAGAAAGGGAGGAGCACCTCTAAATTCATCATATCCATAAGCATGGCTTCCAATGCTTCGATTCCCATGTCCTGCTCCTTTCCATACTCTGCCAAATCATTTCATTCAACCAATCAGTTATTAAAACATAGATATTAGCATGCCCCATAAAAAAAAAGCCAACTGCCCAGCGCAATTCTGCCATGGCACGCCCAACACATAGCCATTGAACCAGTTAGCAACATAACCACCAAACCACGGCATAGCCGTCAACAACGAAACGATCCAGCTGCCAGGATCGGGAAAAAAAAAAGAACACGAAATGCGACAACTCCGACAGGCTCAAGCGATCACAGAAGCCAACGCAACCTTAAAAAGAACTGGTGATGCACTGACGCCTTGGTGCTCTTGGTGGATAAAGGACACGAGTGATTCCTTGGTGTTTGGTGAATAAAGTGCTTCAATATATATATATATATATATTCAGTTGCTAACTACCACATCTCCATAAGCACAAACCGTATAGTCCGAGTTAGGTCACGTAACCTTTCATAGTTGTTCTAGAAATGTCTCTGTTAACTCTTTATGATGATGGGATAATATCTATTATAGACAAAAAATGATCTTCAACAAACTTTTTGTTTTCTCTTAGATATGATAATGACGACTAATTCTTTTAGTTAATTATTATCTTTTCTATGTATTTACTACTATTATTTATTTTTTTATTATATTATTAAAAAAATCAAGTTTTGGATCAAAATTTAAAACCAAGACATTAAGGTTAAACCTTAAATATCATCAAACTTTGAATTAATGAATTCAATAGTAAAATTAAAAAAAATAAAATTCATTAAAATATGCAAAATAAAAACAAAAATCAAGAGACATTAAGGGTTAAACCTTAAATATAATTGAAGAGTAAAATTAAAAAAAATCAAATTCATTAAAATATGCAAAATAAAAACAAAAATCAAGAGAACAAGTCAACTTGAACAAATATAAAAATCAAGATTGTGGATCTAATTATAAAATTAAAAATTTATAAAAAGACTAAAAATAAAATTTAGAAATCAAAATATTAAAAGCTAAATATAAAATGTTATAAAAAAACATGGTTTATATTTTTTTAATGGTCAGCACAAAATTTAATGAAAAAAAGAGAAAGAAAAAAAAAGTAGTTAATAACAAATATTATTATAAACATCACATAGGCTACCCCATGTAAAAAAAATATCGTTGAGCTTCAAACATCGGAGTGAAAGATATAGGTAAAAAAAAAAATTAATCTCAGTCTAGTTTTTTTAAAAAAAATAAAAAAAATGTTTAAACATAATTCTTCTAATTTTTCAACAACTCTTCTATCTCCCAAATCCAATGATTAAAGAATAAAAATAATAACATTCTAGGCTAAAATATTAAATGAATAAACCATTAATATTTTCCATAATATCAAATTAGGTTTTTGCATGGTTGCGTTTAGGGCATTTTGAGTCTTTTACTGGGGAAGTACGAAGGGCTTTGGTTTTGCTTTTTTTTGTTACCAGGAAGGGCTTTGATTATTTTGGCCTGTTTCGGCCTTTCCATTTTCCTCGCTTTCCTATTTGGTCAGCTTATGGATGTATGGGATTTTGGCAAAGTCACGCGTGACACTGGATCGGTAGGTGTACTTCAGCATTTTTCCTGGCCAAATAGAAATCTAGTTATTGTTTTATGTTACGAGCAGCAAGTTGAAAATCCCAAAAACTAGCATATGTCAACATAGGGGAAAAAAAATATTTGCAGAATAAATAAAATGAAAGAAGTAAATAAACTTGTGTTTTGATGGGTAAATTCATTAGATGGGTAAAAAAAAGAGAGCACAGAATAGCCTGAAGGCTTATAGGGAACATAATTATAAGGCAATCACGATGACAGCTTAACCAATTATAAAAGATGGAATCTTTTAAACTTAATGACAACATTATCGGTCTTGTTAGAAAATAAACGTGTTAGAGGTCAAAGTTTTGCTGGCTGCTATCAATTATGATTCCATGTTGGAATCGATTTCCATGGCAAACTTTAGCAGAAAAAAACAATAATTTACGGAGATTGAGCATACACAGCAAACCATATATAGATCTCGATAGAACTCACGGCTTGCTGTTCACCTCTTTTTCCCACTGCAAATAAAACTGATCGAGCTAAGAATCCAAACAGCACAACTAAAGGAGCATGGCATAAGAAAATGACCAAACTCCGGGGAAGAGGAAAAAACACGGCACCATGATGATAGAACAGCCAGACAACCTAATAACCTGTGGAAATATTGATATTTTGAAGCGATGGTTAGAAGTATGAAGGCCATTCTCGCTAGATTGAATTTCTGCCATTGCATATCATTGGTTTGTTTGCTTTGAAAAAAATCAAAAAGAAAGAAAGGGAGGAGCACCTCTAAATTCATCATCCATAAGCATGGCTTCCAATGCTTCGATTCCCA